CTTCCTTCCTCCCTCCCTCCCTCCCTCCCTCCCTCTTATCCATCATCATCTCCTTCCTTCCTGCCCTCCTGCCATCCTTCCTTCCTTCCTAAATATTTAATTACATTTCACACCAATCACTTCCACTAATTGTTAGATCTTTTCTCCCCAAAGGATGAATCTAGGTTCCTCGGAAGGGAATTATATATGTGGCATTTTGTAGGGTGTCTCCCATCCTGTTAATCTCAATTTTGGGGTGTGTGCCCCCCCCCCAAAATCTTATTTCTGTATGTGCAGAAGGAAGCGAAAGAAGGCGTGCGGAGGAGGGGGCCCCCAGGCGCTGTCCGTTCAGCACCATGGAGCGTCGCAGATACTCTGGCTATCTGGCGGATGATGAGAGCTTCAGGGGACCCCAGGTGAGATCCACAAAAAGACATTGGGGGGGGCAAGGGAAGAGACCAAAGTGTGGTTGCCTGTAGCCATCTGCATGTAGTGGCAACTGAGAGTGCCGGAGGGAATTTGGCCCTTCTTCCAAACGACCTGCCTCGAGAAAATCATATTATTCAGGACATGATGTCCTCCACTGTAATCCGAATAGATGCCTGAGGCCAGGCCAGGCCTTGAGTCTGGATCCAGTTTACACGGGCAATTGGCAGGATTTTTTCAGCTTGGAAGGATTCGTGCTTGATGCCGGTTCTGGGCCCACTGTTTTAAATAAAGAGTTCTTTCCAGACCATACTGGGCAGCTGTGCCCATGGGCGATTTTTAATTTCCCACCATGCCTCCGGACAGATGTGGCCGTAGGGGCAATAGGAAAATGTTAACCCAATAGCCAGGCCCATGGCCACTAGGTAAGACTGCCAAGGCCGAGGGAGGGAATTTTGGACATTGGAAGTCCAACAAGAACGGGCAGATGTCAACCCTAGAATTATGGCTTTCCTAGGTTCTTGTCCAGCTATCGCATGTTTAATTCTTGTATTTTTAACAGAAGGGTTCATATTGGGTTTTTGTTGTGTGGTTTTTTTTGGGGGGGGTTGGTTTGTTTCGGACTATGACTCCCAAGTTTTTCCAAGTAGGTATGCTAAGCAATGACATGAAGAGCCATAGGCTTTACAAAAGTCCCGCTCCTTGTTTGTGAATGGAGATGGATTTAAATGGCGGCACTTGTCGAAGGTCCCTGTGGAAAGGGCCGTGACCTCATGGCCCAGGTGCCATGAGGAGGCTGCTGAGGCAAACCCCCCACCCACTCACCCCCACTTGATTTTGCAGATGGGACACCTCAACGGCAGCCAGAGAAGAGGCTCTTACGACTGGAGACCTACACCGAGACCCCCTTCGCGCTGCCAGCTTCGACATCCCGACGCCGCGGCCTCTAGTTCCACTTCACCCCCCGACCCCTCGGCGAACCGAGGGAAACGGAAACACCACAGGACAGCCGCCGGCCGGCCCAGGGGGAGCAGCCACCTGGCAAACGAATTTTCGGAGTTTGTGGATTTCTTAGCGGACGAGGACGTCCTTGAAAGCCTTCAGGGCATCGTGGAGGATGCGGTCCGGAAGCTCCGAGGCATGACGACGGAAGACGGGGAACGGGTCTTCGACATCCCCGACGACGCTCCCTCGAGCGCCGGCAGCGAGTCGTGGTCCATTTCCTACAGCTCGACCCGTTCCCGGTCTGAATATTACACCACCACTACCACCTCCACCACCTCCAGCTCTGAAGAGGACTGGGAGCACCGGGTCAGGCTCAGAGAGCAGCCGAAACCGGAGGGCAGAAAGTGCCTCTTGGAGAAATATGCCTCCAGGCTTCCCAAGCTGGGGAAGAAGACCGGAGACAGCCTGTCTGGAGGATTCCATGCAGAGGTAAGGTCTGGACCTCTTTCGAAGGCTTGTGCTCTCACACGGCCTATGCAATCCACGGGAGAAAATGCAGTTTCCACACCAAGATCTGCGGCGGAGGGATCAGCTACAAAAATGGCATGCTAGAGCAGCGGGCTGGATAGCTCAGTGAGTTACGTGTCTGGCTGTGGAGCCCGAGGTTGAGAGTTCGAGTCCCCCACTGTGGCTCCGGCGAGTCGAGCCAGCCTGTGGGGCCTTAGGGCCAGCGGGCATCGTCCCCAGGGCACACACACACCCCGGAAGAAGGGAAGGTTGAACCACTTTTGAGTATTCTCTATGTAGGAAACCCTGGGAAGGGTCGTCATAGGTCAGAATGGACATGACACCGCACAGTAAAGAGCTGGCTAGATAGCTCAGTGGCTAAGTCATGAGGTTGCAAAGCCGGAGGTTCAGAATTCGATTCCTTGCAGTGCCTCCTTTGAATATAGCCACCCTGTGTAGCCTTGGGCAAGCTGTGTAGTCCCAGGGTGTCCCCTAGAGGAACGGAAGGGTAAGCCACTTCTGAGTACAGTCGTGCCCCGCTTAAGGATTACCCCGTATAACAACGAAACCGCTTCACGACGATGTTTTTGCAATCGACTGCTTCATGACAATGTTTTTGCAATCCCAGTTGTGATCGCAAAACAATGTTTAAATGAGTTTTTTTCGCTTTGCGAAGATTGGTTCCCTGCTTCAGGAACCGATTCTTCGCATTATGACGATCAAAACAGCTGATCGGCGGGGTTTCAAAATGGCCGCCGGGTGCTCAAAATGGCTCCCCGCTGTGTTTTTGGACGGATTCCTCGCTCTACAGGCACCGAAAATGGCCACCCCTATGGAGGATCTTCGCTGGACGGTGAGTTTTTCAGCCCATTGGAATGCATTGAACGGTTTTTAGTGCGTTTCAATTGGCTTTTTTATTTCGCTTTACGACATTTTCTCTCTACAGCGATTTCGCTGGAACAAATTAACGTCGTTAAGTCAGGCACCACTGTATTCTCTTCCTGGAAAACTCTCAAAAGGTTCACCATCTGTCAGAATTGACTTGATAGCACACCATTATTATTATTATAGTGCGAACAGAAGTAGGAGATAATTCCTATATCTAATAATGTAGGGCTGAGGGTCACCTCTGACCTTCTTGGGGGGGCAAATCTTGCCCTACAAGATTGTCCCAACCACTGCACAGAGCCTTCTCAAAAATACTGCCATTTGGTGGCTCTCCAGCTTTTGATTGTTTCCACACCCCACCCGCCCACCACCCCTTCTAAAAAGCCAGCCCGGCATCTCTTTAAGACTGAGTTACGGCCAGTAAGAGCTGTAATCCAAAAATAGGACACAACACACAAACACTCACCACTGCCGTGCAGCCCTTGGGAAATCAAATTTGGCATCTTGGATGAAAGATGTTACCCACATTTGACACTGGGTATGAGAAAAAGGACGACATTGTGGTCTATGCACAACTCGGTCTTGTATTTCTCCATGGATCGGGTAGCATAGATGCTGTTTTCCACTGCCCTTGTGTTTTCTGGATGACATTTGCAGGTTCTCTTTGTGTTGTAGCTGTCGTATCTCCTTGCTGCGATTGTGGCCGCGGCTGGGAAACCTTGAACCTTACCAGAGAACTGATGAATGAATGACACAGCAAAGGCCTTCCTTAGTTTGGCATCCAGTTCAGAGGTGTTGGTGCACACAAGCCCCTGCTTTGTGTAATGACCAAGCATCTCCAGGGATTCAACCCACAACATTTCGCTTCTGGACAAACCTGATTTTCCTCAAGCTAGCCGTGACCTAGCAGTTTGTCGTATCACCTGTGCTGTGATCGTAGATTGCAGGAACCTAGTGGACAGCACCCGTGCCATCACTAATGCTATATGAAAAAATACCCAAATGATTGTGAAAGCCTGTGTGTAGAGCATTCACCATGTAGCAATGAATGATGAAGGCTGCCCACATCTGCCCTAAAGGCCCCAGTTTTCCCTCTATGAAGACAACTTTCCTTCTTTTCCCATTATACAGATAAATAGGCATATAAAGGGGGAAAGTGTCTGTGTATCTATCTGTGTGCATTGAGCGGCATAGCAATTATTATGGCTTTTCTTGGTTATGAAAGGTTGTTATCTCATATTATGCTGTACCTACCTCCACTTTTCTTTTGTATTCATCCCTTATTCACTACAAAAGCAGGAACGGGTGATACTTTTAATCAACCATTAAAAATATAAAACAAACACACAGCGAGCTTCCGATGATAAAGCATCTTCTTCAAGGCTGTGCATCCAGTTCTTGTTGGTCACTCCAAAATTATGTGCTGTTATGAATGTCCCAAAGCCACATAGCTGATGATATAGAGGACATGCCAGCTTCTTAGTTGGAAATGGCTGCAGTCTGTAAAGGGCCTATATGGAGGGGGAAGGGGCTGGTTTCAAGCCCCTCCTCAGCTAGGATTTTGGAAAAAAAATGTATTTTAATTTTTTCTACATACAAAACACACACACACAAAAACAATATGGGAAGGGGCTGGTTTCAAGCCTCTCCTTAGCTAATACTTTGGAATGCATAACCCCTCTCAAGGACAATCATGCAGTCTGAGCTCCCCTCATTCCCCCTAAAACAAAACCCCACATATTTTGGAATTTATAACCCCTCTCAAGGGCAGTCATGCAGTCTGAGCTCCCCTCATTCCCCCTTTCCACCTTTTTTAAATTCAAAGAATTTCTTTTTAGCTAGGGGAGGAAAGAACGGCCAGAAGCCTGGTCTCCTTCTAACAGAGTCAGGATTGCAAATTTAGTTAAACCACCAGGAATATTCCGTTTAAGCCAAATTAAAGCCAAATCAATAGCAGGATTGCAAATTTAGTTAAACTACCAGGAATACTGTAATCTGTTTAAGCCAAATTAAAGCCAAATCAATAGTTTTACCTGGTGGGTGCTTCCTTTAGCGTGCAGGACGGCTCATTTGGTGTTAAGAGTCCATGATGTTCAAGAACTCACGTTCGCCTTCAGACGATGCCCTGATTAGCCATTTTATGACATTTTACAGGAAAAAAAATCAGGAAAAAAGTGACTTGATCATAGAAACAGCTTAAAACCCCCCCTTCCATATGCTTTTCACAGACTGCACCCATTTCCAACTAAGATGCTGGCGTGGCCCCAACATCAGCCGTTCTTCCAGGTATCACCGGTTCCTATATTTGTATTGTTTCTACAGCCATGCCGCCTTCTCCTGAGTTATCCCCTATTCAGATAGCGACCTAATGTGATAACAAAGGAAAGGAGAAAAGATGATTCAAGGATAAGTGGAAACCTCCCAGAGATTCAGACTGGATTGTCTGTTTTCTTGATCCTCTTTCTCATTAGTCAAGGGGTTGTGATTCTTGAGGTGCAAAAGGTCCCGGGTAAGAATCCCAAACAAGACCTGCCCCGATTAGCTACATCGAACACAGCTCGGTGGGAGAGAATCTTTGCATGCAGGTGAAATGCTTCCTCTCTCTAGGTGTGGCATTCCAGGTAAGACCCATGCTTGACTTTCCGGAGACAAACTGCCCACCTCCGTTGACCCAGGTGGAAAAGTCAAAGCCTTCCCACTTTGTTTGACTGCAACTCCCATCATCTCCCACAATGATAGCCCACGGAAGGGCCCACAGGGAACCCACCCCAGAGTAGACCATATTGAACGGGATGAATTAAGGATCGGGCCCTTGGTCAAACAAGATCACCCTGTTCCCCACATCCTTCTATACGCCCTTTATTATTTATCGCAATCCTGTTCTAACGTTCTTTCCTCTATTTCTTTCCGGGCTGCTCATTGTAGACGTTTTCCGAACGATCGGGGGACAGTTACTTCTTCCGGCAGGAACATTTCCATATTTGGGCCAAATTGGCGGAGTCTTTTGAACAGCTGCAGCTCCCCAAGAAAGATTATTTTGCAAAATTTAGGAAAAAGGTCCCGCCAACGTCATTTTCGGTGGAATCTCTCCAAAAGGAAATCACCAGCGTTTTGAAACGGCCAACACCAAGCAGCATCCCCTTATATTATCCAGGCCGTGAGCCGTTCGATGCTCTGGATTTCTTGGAAGAGAACAAAATCTTAGCGGCCCTTCAGGATATTATAAACCAAGCGGTTCTCCAAGTCCTGGAAATGAGAGGGGCGGACGGCGTTCCTTTACTGGACCTCTTTGACGCGGAAGGCCACGGGGCGATGCTGTGGGGATCTTCCACGGCAGGCAGTGAAGAAGAAGGAGAGGAGGAGGAAGAAGAGGAGGAAGGAGAGGAAGGAGAAGGAGAGGAAGGAGAGGAAAGTTCCGGAAGTGGGGAAGAAACGTCGGAAGAGGACGATTCCAAATCGGGAGGCAGCAAGTCGTCAGGAAAGAAGAAGAAGAAGAAGAAAAAGAAGAAAGGGAAGAAGAAAAAGAAAGGCAAGGGGGAATCTCCAGCTGGAGATGAGAAAAGCAAAGGGAAATACACGCCACCACCCCCGGGCAAATCCAGGAAGAAATCTATGGCCGAAGAATCTCAGCGCAAGCCCAAATACGTACCCCCTCCGCTCCCTAAAACGAAGCCGAGGGCTGCCCCTGAGGAACCCCCACCCAAACCGAAATACACTCCACCCCCGCTTCCTAAATCCAAACCAAAGAAAGCAGACTCGGCCCAAGCGGAAGCCGAGACGCCCAAACAGGTATGGGGGTTCTCTAAAGGAAAATAACTTCTTAGGACAGAGACAGGGA